GCCCGCACCCGGAAAGCAGGCACATTAGTGCCTGCGTTGTGGTCCAGTGCGATCTGCAAAAATGCTGCAAGCACTATTTTTGCAGATCGCACTGGACCGGAATGCAGGCACTAATGTGCCTGCGTTCCGGGTGCGGGCGATCGGACTGTGGGCGGGGGGGGGCATGGCTGCGGTGCCATTGACTTCAATACAACCCCACACCCCCTCCCGCCTCTGAACGCAGGGAGTCAGCCGGCTTGCATTCCAGTGCGTTCTAGAGGCGCCGGCGTCCTGTCCTTCTGCGGTGCTCGTGTGGCCGACGTTGCACATGGGGAGAGATGTCCTGTCCCTTTCTGTCTGCAGCGTCTAACACATTCAGCCGGCAGCCACACGAGCACCGCAGGAGCATAGACGTAGCCAGCTCCTTTTGCGCCTGAGGCAGGAAAAAATATGTGCCTCCCTAACAGGCGTGTGACATCACCCAGCGCCCCGCCTTTAAGATTTGTTTTATTTTTTACTATTTTTTATTATTTATTTAATGTTTCAAGGAAATATTAGGGGTCTAAACAGCCCCCTGATATTTCCCTTTTAAAATAGAAAAAGAAATTGAGGACACAAAGCCCTCAATCTCTTTTTCTGCAGCCTCTGTTCTAAATGAATGGAAAGCACAGAGGCTTCGAATTCATTCATAAAATATTTACTATCATCCAGTTTCTGAATGGGGAGCAGACTCTGTACAGAGTGCTACTCCCCATTGAGAAACTCATGAATGAACAGGAAGTGATGTAAATCACTTCCTGTTCATTCATAACTGGGGACACATGGTACAATGTGTCCCCAGTTATTTACAAACACTGGAGTGATCAGCTGATCGCTCCAGTGTTTGTCCTGCACAGAGAATCGGCACATATCACTTATATGTACCGATCCCCTGCCGCTCGGCCACGCACATAGGGGGGCTCAGCTTCTTCTCTGGATCCCCCTCTGCTCTCCTGGGCAGAGGCAGCGGGGGATCCGAGGAAAAGTAAAAGAAGCGCTGCAGCCGTGGGGGCAGCGGAGGACGGAGCGCGGTGAGGAGAGAGAGAGCCGCAGGCTTTCAGATCCTGGCCGAGCTTCTCCCTCTCTCTCCTCACTGCTCAGCCTTACTTCTGTGATAGCGGCTCCCTCCTCCAAACCCCCCGCCCTGCCGCAGCGATTCGTTCACTTCTCCTCGGATCCCCGCTGCATACAGATGGGGGAGAGCAGCGGGGATCCAGAGGAGAAGCCCCAGGACATCGCCATCACCAGTGACCCCTATCTTACAGGGACTTCCAAGAACAGCTGCTGTGCTGAGTGACTTCCTCTCTCCTATTAAGACACATCGGGTCGCTTGCTTGGCACAGTGGCCATTCAGAGAACAGCTAGTATTTTTCTCAATGAATGCTAACCATGATGTCACCGCCCCTCGTCCAATTAGAGAACGTCGAGTTTTCATTTAGAAAAATACTAGACATTCCCTAATTGATGCTGTGATGAGCGAGCCACCCGATGCGTCTCAACTGCGTAGGGGAAGTCAATCAAGAAAGCGGCTGTTCCTAGACCTGAAAGACACTGTAATACATTACAATAGCTGCGCCGACGACCACAGTGTTTCACAGGGTCCTCATGGCCCACCAGGGATCATTTATATATACTTATATATACTAGACATGTGCAATTCATTTAGTTATTTGTACGGATTTTCCAAAATGCATCCGAAATTTTCAAATGAAAAAAAACAAATCCAAACGTATCTGAAATTTCCAATAATGAAAATTTCAGATGCATCCAAATTTTTTTCCGAATGTCATTCTGAATGAATTTATGTTGTTAATCGTTAACATAAAAAAAATAAAACCAGGGTGGAATCCTCTCCCCAATTCATACCAACCCTTTTAGTTCTGATTGGAATTTTCAGGGGGAATTTTTAGGCCCCCACACCATTAAAAAAAAAAAGCAAAGCGTGGGGTCCTCCTTTAAACTTCTTACCAGACCCTTGATCTGAGCTGCAGCCTGGCAGAGCAGGAAAAGAGGGGATGAGGCCACATGCCCTCAACATGGGGAGGGTGCTTTGCTAGGAGGGAGGCCCCTGGCAGCGTACCAATGAGGACAAGGGCCTCTTCCCTACAACTCTGGCCCAGTGATTGTGGGGGTCTGCAGGCAGGGGGGCTTATAGGAATCTGGGTGCCCCTTTTCATGAAGGGGGAAGTCTGTAAAACGAAATAACGAAAAATCTGAAACAAAACAAAATTAAATTAACCAAATTTTTTCCTGCCACACATGTCTAATATACAGTATATTTATATTGTGCAAGGCAGGAAGGATGTAAGAATACATACATTTCAATAGCTTTAAACCAAGCTCACAATCCTTTTTTTCAAATATATTACTCAATAGCCACAAAAGATATAAATCTGCTTTGCGTGACCCAAGTGCCTTTACAAATCCAAATACTACTTGTAAAACTAGCAGTGAGTTCATCGCTGTGCTGTGCATTGCCTGTGCAGAGAGCAGAGCTGTGGGAGGGACCCAGCAGGTTGCCTGCAGAAAACTACAGGAGGGGGCAGAGGCATGTAGGTAGGTGCAGTATGGCCAATGGCCCCATTTGGCCCAGGAGATAGATGCAGCTCTGGCCTGGGGAGACTCTGTGTCCCAGGAGAGTTGATTTATAGGGGGCGCTTGAGAGGGGAGCAGTGGAGTTCCATGGAGAGATTACAGGAGAGCAGAAGTCTAGGACTGTTTGCAGAGTCTCCGGAGGGAGACTGTTTCTTAAACATAGGCTGGTCCATGGGAAGGACAGGACCAGGCCTAGGACTATGTAGAGCTACAAAGATTCCCTAGTTTCCCCTGGAGGGGGAAACCCACCAAGCTAGGACTGACAAGGATGGGATTCCAGAGAATAGTGAGAAGCTATAGTACTGACGATATTTGCCAGTGGGCCTCTGGCCGAATTAAGTCGTGGACTCTGGGCTGCACCTGGGGTGTACCTCTCTCTCTCTAAATTGTAACCCTATGCAACTATCAAGAATTGTGCCGTCATCCCACCCGGGGGTGGCTGAACGTATACTTTATTCTGTTAATTCCTTCAAGTAAAACCAACAAAAAGACTATCTGTGTGGACTGGTTCTTCTCCCTCCAACCTCTGAGAAGGTGGGGTTCTACAGGAGTGTGATGGTGGACTGTATCGTGGCTGTAACCATCCGGAGGAGGGTAGGTGTGCAATGGGGCTATGCCCAACACAGGGTGCCGTTCATGGTGGCCTTTCTCCCTGAGGGGGAGGAAGCGCCGAATACCGCAGAGGCGGCGGAAGCCATGAGGCCCTGTGTGCGCAGTACTACACGTGTGGGAGTGTTTGCACGAGGCCAAGGCCGTGGCCCCTGACCGTGGGGTGTCTGGTTTTGAGTTGCATGCACAGGGTTACACAGCCAACCCAAAGGAAACACACACACAACACCCCGAGAGTGAACCCCCCCTACAGGCAAGACCAGTCATCCTGCAGAAGAAGAGAGAGCAACAGTGACCGGTCTTTATTACAGGAAGCTCCTACCCAGAGGAAAAGTTTCACACTGGATTACTGCCCAGATCTGGAAGAAAATACACACAGCTCTCCAAGATTCAAGGAAGACTACACATGACTCTTGAATTTAGAGAATATTTGCTTATACCGGAGTTCAGCTTTAAGAAGTAGACTCTCTATTCAGACTGTATATTTAAACACATTGGAGGTGCACAACAGAGTTCTTATTTAATTCTCTGCAGAAAATGTTGTATTTACCCCCACGACTCATCCCGGCTAGATCCCAGGGCACTGTATGCCACCAGCACGATACCTTTGGACTTACAGAATTTTAGCAGTTTGCTTTGGTTCAGGTAGATATGACACTCAACCTGCACAGACAAAAAACACATGAAATACAATTTTACAAATAATCAGGGATACCAAGCACAGGGACTATGTTTCACATATATCTATCAGCAAATCCTACAATTAAGTCATCCCATTTATAATATTTTCCAATGTTCTAACAGCCAGAATTGAGATTTTAATAGGACATGTCCACCCACAAGTGATATTTCAGGTATTGGTGGACCCTTGTAGGATGAATTAGTCCCTGGATTCTTATATGTCTTTTATACTCCAAGAGCGAGAGCTCCCTGCCAGAATTCCTGGCTTTGTTTCTGCCCGCCTGGGAGTTTTGGATGTTGCCACCCCATTTGTGTGTTCCAGCTCCTCCTGTTACATTCTCCAGTATATGAAACAAATTTAAAAAAAATCAGCAGAAATTCAGCATGAATGATCTGATCCTTTATTGTGGGCTCAGCAGGTGTGTAGACCAAGGAACTCAGCAGAGGGATGGTGGGAACCCTTTATAATGAGCATAGAAGGCATGTAGACCCGGGAACTCAGTTTAGGGATGGTGGGAATGCCTTACAATGGGCACAGCAGGTTGCAGAACTGGGAACTCATAATAAAGTCCCCGAGGAATAGGAGAGACTCTCTCTCGAGCTTTAACTTTCTGTCATCTACCAAATATTGAGGTATCAATATCTGAACCATTTAGGATTCATTGAAACAGTTATAATATGTAAATATAAAAGATCTGCTTAGAAATACCTATACACAAATGATATACACAAAAGCCCCCATATACTGTATACCTGGAGGTGAAAGAGAACACAAGTGAACAGAACAGAGCCAGGAATGGTGACAGGGGGATCCCACCATCAGAGTCCCAATTAAAAATAAGAAGACAATAGGTGACACTCCACATATATTGTATATGAAATATCCCTTTTTGATACATTGGAACTTTTATAGTAGATGTAATTAACATGTTAAAATTTCTATAAGATTTTCATGATTGGGATTTTCATTTCATTGTCTTCTACAATCTGCAGATATCATTAAAGTAATACCTGCCCATCCTGTTTGAGCATTTCCTCTTATGAGGTGACAACTGACTCTCAGTATAGCTCCTGCATTGTCACCCTGTCACATGTGTCCCCGGTGAAGACTACAAGTGTAGCTGTGCTGATACACAATGTTCCGGACGCGTTCCACCGTTGTCACAACCAAAATCAAATGGCAATTGTTTGTGATACATGGTGCTTTATCATACTAAATGTCACCCAGTTAGGGTTTACATGTACTCTAAGGGCCAGTTCATATTATAGCACTGTGTTAAATACACAATACTAACGCACAGTGTAAGCACTACTTTTTGTCACTGCAACGCACAGTATTGTGATATTATGCATTGTACTGCATTGCAGGATATACGTTGGGGTGCCATTCAAATGAACGCACTGTGCTGCGCTGTGTAAAAGCATAAGTCTGTGCATTTAGCACAATGCTATAATGTGAACGGGCCCTGATACTGATCTATACAACCTTGGAAATGTATTACCTGATTGCAGACGGGCTTGTATTTCAAATCTGACTTATTCAGGATCAGCTCCAGCTGCCGGCGATTGAAGTTAGACACGCCAATAGATTTGACCAGACCGGCGTCTTTACACTGCTCCATTGCCTGAAAAATATTTGCAGAAAATTACAATACCTTTGTACAGTGATCCCAACACCCCTTCCTAAATTCACCACAAATGTCCAGAGGTGGACAGAAGAGAGAAACAAAATAAAGAAAAAGTTACCCCTGCTTATTAATTTTAAGGTTTGGCGCAGGTTCTTTAACGCTGCGGCCCTAGGCATGACCCACAGGTGCCTGATGGTAAATAGAGCCCCAGGTATGTCTTGGTCTCACATGTCCTATTATTTGTTTCTTTATTTTTACAATCTAGTGTAGCCAGAGATTTACAATTAATGTATTGTTCTCACCTTCCAGGTATCTCGGATGTCTGTGTTGTTGTACCGATATGTCCCATCTTCATCCACTGGAATCAGATCCTCACTCGGCTTAGTGAGAAAAAGAACATGATTATAGTACAACAGAGGACTATACTATAGGTGGATATTAGGGATGCACTGATACCTTTTTTTTTTCGGTATCGAGTATGGGTATTGATATTTTGTTTTCGTTACTCGCCGACACCAGTGCTTCCGCTGGCATGGAGCGGGCTTCCCAGGAAATCAGGAAGCTGGGCGGCATGTCATTACCCGACGCCCGGCTTCCTGATTGCCCATGAAGCCGGCTCCATGCTGTTTGGTTAGCTTGATTGTGATTGGCTTGGAAACCAATCAGGAAGCCGGGCGGTGAGTAATGACCCGCCTCCCGGCTTCCTGATTGCACATGAAGCTGGGTCCATGTTCCCTACAGCACTGCCGGTCAGAGGAAATCTCCTGCTGACCGGAGGTTTCCGGTATCAGGGAAGGTATGGGAGTACTCGCCCAAATACTTGTTATCGATACCGATACTAGTATAGGTATCGGTGCATCCCTAGTGGATATACAACAGACATCTACAGCTGGGCTTTATTTATATCTACAATTTAATCTGCTTATGTTTTGGCTTCCCCGGTTCCTCCTTTCCAACCTCCTCAACATGTCAATGACATTTCTAGATAAACCCTTTTCTTTTTCATGACATACTCTACTTTATACTCAATGAATTCATCACTGGGTCTCTGTGCAATGCAGACAGATCATGGCTGGTGGTAAGAGCTGGCAGGATGATGTACATAGCTTCCTGAAAACATCACAGCACCCTGCCTCAGCCCTGATACAAGCAGTGTGCTGGCTCTAAAGGGGGAGTTATGCAAATATTAAAATGCCCTGGTGGATGGATGGCAGTCTGCAGGGGTGGGCATTCCTACTGAAATCCAACAAATTGTAGGGGGAGGACAAGGACATTTAGGCTGGAGAAAAAAGTGCTGGATGTCCTCCAGCCAGGAAATGAGGCGGCCTCTTTCTGACTTGCTGCATCTTCTAATGCATCTAAGGAGAAGATCACAGTGTGCAGTAAAATCAAAGTATTCATTTTCAGTTCAGGAGAGGAGCCGGCACAACTGTGCAAGACTGAAGGGAAGGCCGGAGTCCTGATTTAACATAACACTGTCCCATGCCATGAAATATGTTTACCTCAAATTCTACAGGCATGTGAATGAGAAAAAGATCCAGGTAATTCAGTCGAAGAGCTCTCAGAGACTTCTCCAGACCTCGCCGAACCAAATCAGGTTTGTGGAACGTACTCCAGAGCTTAAAAAAATAAAAAATACGTCATTCAGATACAGTGCTACACTACTTCTACCAAGGTCAGAAAAGGCCTGATCAGCACAAATGTTTTTTAAATTAGGCTCAACACTCATTGCACTTATAGAACAGATACAACAAAATGCTTTATTGCTTTATTCAACAGACCAAAGGGAGCAAATGAGGGAAATTAATTTTAAGGTTTACATACACTTTGGGGGTTATTTATAAACAATTTGCAGAGGCGTTGACCCTGCAAATATCTGTGAATGTTCGCTCTGTGCGAAAATAGGCCAAAATTAAAATTCTTTCGTTTTCTTTACAAGTGCAATGAATTTTCAAATGTTTTAATGTAATATTGTAATATGGCCACTAGATGGAGCTAAAGGTGCATAGGGAGCTAAGTATTTATTTTCCTTGCTCCTCAGTGCCATCTAGTGGCCGCAATGCAGTATTACATTGAGATAAAAAACAAAAAGTACATTGCCTTATAAAGAAACAACGCTTCAGAGAGGACCTAGCACATACTTCCGCTACAACCTTTCTTAAGGTTCTCCCTAGAAAGCACCTACCTTCCCAGTGATGAACAAGTCTTCTCTCCTTATGGTCCTATCTTTGATCTTCTTTCGGATGGCCCGGCCAACCTCAGCCTCATTGCTGTACAGGTATGCCCCATCAATATGGCGGTACCCAGCTTCTATGGCTAGCTGTGTGGCCTTTTCCACCATGCTCTTGGGGTACTGAGAAAATACAATGTGATTTATATATGACAATACTTCATAGAAATTCATAGAAAATGTTAATGTTTAGTGCAAGTGTTTATTGACCCGGTAGGTTCTATTCATAACCCAAGGCCATCCCTATAATGAAGCAGCCTGAAGCAGTTCTTATTAGGTCATGTGGGGAGGGGAACGGGGGTGGCAGGTGTGCCTGTTGCGCCATTTCCGGCCAGAGCATCCCCGGTTGCTAAGAGCACTTAGCAACGCATTCCGCCCATCTAACTAATGTCACTGGATGCCAGGAGCTGTACAGGATGCCATGCATACATCTCTGTCATAACCCAATAATTCATCAGTTAACTTCACTTTCCAACATTATTTGCAGCATCATTTGTCAAGTCAGTTTACAGAATGTTTTATTGCCCAATCAATTTTAAGTGAGTTACAGCAAAGGCACACTTTATTTTCTTTATTCTAGATATATTTATCAGGTTGATTCCTTTGGGGGTAACACAACCCATAAAATCTCAATTTATTTTTTTGTTAAATCATACCGGACTTTTAAGATACCCACACACAGACTGTGTATAGTTACACACAGACCGTGTATAATTGTTTAGAAAACTTTTTATATTATACACAATCCTTTAAAAACAGTAAAAAACATAAATTGTGCCGAATAGTTGAAATGGCTCTGTAATACTCTATGAGTGCCTCGCCCTATTCACATTCCAATGTTATTTTCACACATTAAATTATATCGATATCAAACCATATTACAAGATGTGTTTTTGAATCTCGTTAGAATAACAGCAGTTGGATGGCATTGACTCAACGCGTTTCACAGATATAGTCCGCTTCCTCAGGAGTTATGTTAGGCATTGATATGAACATAGAGCTGTTGTGGAGCCGGGTGAGCAAAAAGAACGTTTGCTTAAAAGTCTGGCAGGCAAGCACAAGGATAGATAGTGGAGACTCCCCCTGAGCTGACTGACATGCATATCGGTGAAATCACAAACATCCACTGTGATGCTCGCCTGTATTGGCTGTGGATAACATGGATCACAACTGCGGTTTACAGCTAAAGGGTTAGGACGGGAATCATATAGCAACTCCTCCACCTCGCTATACCCAGTTTTGGAATAAGGCTGCGAGGAAGTTGCAACACATCACACCCTGTATGCACTGAGAAGTTGTAAAATTGGATTCAGTCTCACTAGAAGTGCGATACCTCTGACTTGACGCCGGAGGGACACATTGGCTGAAGTTAGTAGTGGTAGGCCACTGAGTGTGTTTAGGTGTGATATTACTGATAAATGGTGAAGTCCACAATACAGCTCTAATAGGTATGATTTGTCAGGTTATCACTCCCTTAACCTTAGCAGACATCAATTGGACAATATATAAATTCAACGTGGCTAGCAAGTTTAGCAGACATCAATTGGATAATATATGAAATCAACGTGGATAGCAAGGTTTAGCAGACATCAATTGGAATATATATAGAATCAACGTGAACAGCAAGGTTCCCTATGCATAGGGAGATTCCCAGGTTACTTGCGGTTAGTGTTGGCCTCGGATGCTCCAGGTGAGGCTTTAGGCGTCAGGTCCTTTGTGAGGCGAGTGGGGAGCTGAGCTGATCAGCGTCCTGCACACTCAACAGAAGATGCTGATCAAGTGCTGAGATGCGGCTTTTAAGCCGAGTGCTGCGTCTGGAAGGGGCGGAGTCCCGCGGCGCGCCTGCGCCCGATGTGGACGGGTCTCGGGGGAGAGAGAGAGGGATCTGTCTATGCGCCTGCGCATGGTGTTGCTGGATGGCGGCGGTGGACGTCACACTCTGATGCTGACGTCTCGGAGTCGCAGACCCGCGGCGCGCCTGTGCAGTGAGCCCACGACCCGCGGTACCGGCTCCCATCAAGGTGCGTCTGTTACAGTACCCCCTCCTCAAGGGAACCCTTCCAGGGTTCGTACGCGGAGAAGGACGGCCAGGATGGAGTCTGTGGAAGCGGGAGACTCTTTGTGGAGCGTGGACATTGCGAGAGTCCTCCCACGAGTCCTCTTGGGGCCCGTAGCCCTACCAGCGGATGAGGTACTGCAGCTGATTCCTGAATCGGCGGGAGTCGAGTACCTCCTCCACCTTGAAACTCCTCTTCACCGTCCACCACACATGGGGGAGGTATTGGGGGCACCCTTGCCCCGAAAGGATCTCGGCGGTAAGGTTTGAGGAGAGAGACATGGAACGTAGGGTGGATTTTGAGGTCAGCAGGGAGAGTAAGCCGTACGGCGGCGGAGTTCACAACCTTCTCAACAGCATAAGGACCGATGAAAAGCCTGCTGAACTTGCGAGCGGGGGTCCTGAGTTTTAGATTCCTGGTGGATAGCCACACGAAATCCCCAACATGATAGTCCGGGGGACGTCTGTGTCTGGTATCATGGTAAGCCTTCTGACGTTCCTTTGCCTTAAGGATGTTCGCCTTGATGGTGACATTGCTGGCCACGGTTTATGTCCCCAGAGAAGGTATCGGGAGGACTTACCTGGGGCTCAGGTGCTGGATGGCTTTGGGCTGGCTTGGGGGATGCCCCTTCAGGTGGTCTAATTAACATCTCTTCCCGTAGGGCTCGGTTTTCGTTACGGATTTCCGTCACGTTCAGCGTGAGGTCCTCCATCCGCTGAGTGAGGTTAAGGATGCACTGAGCTAATTCCGCTGGATCCATTTCAATTTTTGGGTCTTCTGTACTGTGACGCTCGCCTTTATTGGCTGTGGATAACGTGGATCACAACTGCGGTTTACAGCTAAAGGGTGAGGACGGGAATCAGAGAGCAACTCCTCCACCTCGCTATACCCAGTTTTGGAATAAGGCTGCGAGAAAGTTGCAACACATCACACCCCGTATGCACTGAGAAGTTGTAAAATTGGATTCAGTCTCACTAGAAGTGCGATACCTCTGACTTGACGCCGGAGGGACACATTGGCTGAAGTTAGTAGTGGTAGGCCACTGAGTGTGTTTAGGTGTGATATTACTGATAAATGGTGAAGTCCACAATACAGCTCTAATAGGTATGATTTGTCAGGTTATCACTCCCTTAACCTTAGCAGACATCAATTGGACAATATATAAATTCAACGTGGCTAGCAAGGTTTAGCAGACATCAATTGGATAATATACGGAATCAACGTGGATAGCAAGGTTTAGCAGACATCAATTGGAATATATATAGAATCAACGTGAACAGCAAGGTTCCCTATGCATAGGGAGATTCCCAGGTTACTTGCGGTTAGTGTTGGCCTCGGATGCTCCAGATGAGGCTTTAGGCGTCAGGTCCTTTGTGAGGCGAGTGGGGACCTGAGCTGATCAGCGTCCTGCACACTCAACAGAAGGCGCTGATCAAGTGCTGAGATGCGGCTTTTAAGCCGAGTGCTGCGTCTGGAGGGGGCGGAGCCCCGCGGCGCGCCTGCGCCCGATGTGGACGGGTCTCGGGGGAGAGAGAGAGGGATCTGTCTATGCGCCTGCGCAGGGTGTTGCTGGACGGCGGCGGTGGACGTCACACTCTGATGCTGACGTCTCCGATTCGCAGACCCGCGGCGCGCCTGCGCAGTGAGCCCACGACCCGCGGTACCGGCTCCCATCAAGGTGCGTCTGTTACATCCACTAATTAGAGCTTGCATTGTACCAACACAGTCCTTCATGCCCAAATAGTAGGGGATGGAAGTTGTCTTGTCATTGGTGGAATAGTGGTACAATGTGGGGAGAGAGCTCACCTCCTTCCCACTGGTGGTGACACTTTGGCTCTGTCATGTAAATGTTACTTTGACACATACCACATACCTAAACATTGTTGCTGTACCCCCCTTCATGGAAAGGGTATTCCCTCTTTCAGCTTATGGTCTCTTTCAGCGAGACAATGCACCCTGCCACACCACAAAAATGGTTCAAGAATGGTTTGAGAAACACACTACCGAGTTGGAGGTGTTGACTTGTCCTCCAAATTCTCCAGATGTCAATCCAATCAAGCAGGGGCGTAACTAGAAATCACAGGGCCCCACAGCAAAATTTTGTATGGGGCCCCGTGATTGCTAGTTATGCCACTTGCAGAGCCCACCTGATATACGAAACAGCCCACCTGAGAGTGACCCTGCAGAGCCCACCATAGACTCTCTATAGAGGGCTCTGCAGGGTCTCAGATGGGCTGCACACCTCTTATGTGTACGGGCTGTCCGGCTCCGTCCGTGTGGTCGCTGGGCCCCGCCTACCTCTCTGATCCCCCGTCTCCTCTTCCGTCCACCGGGCCCCGCCTCCTCTTACATCACTGGCTCTTAGGCCCGGGCCCCGCCTCCTCCAATGCAAACGCTGGCCTCTTCTGCAGCAGCTGCTGGCTCTCACTGACACAGCTCCGCAGCAGCTGTTCCTGTTCACCACCGCTGCTGAGCTGTGTCAGTGACAGCCAGAACCCTGATGTGCCATAGCGACCCAGGCGGCATCAGAGGGATGCCCTGGCCGGGCCCCATAGTGGCTGCCTAGGTCGCTATGGTAATTGTTACGCCACTGCAATCAAGCATCCATGTTCTGGAAAAACAAGTCCAATCCATGGAGGCCCCACCTCACAACTTACAGGACATAAAGGATGTGCTACTGACAGCTTGGTACCAGATACCACAGCATACCTTCAGGTCTAGTGGAGTCCATGCCTCCAGGGGTCAGGGCTGTTTTGGCAGAAAAAGGGGGACCTACTCAATATTAGGCGGGTGGTCACAATGTTATGGCTGATTGGTGTATATTTGTATTTCCTTGTTTTTTCATTGGGAATAGTAAATATTAGAAAAAAAAATTGTCCTGTAATTTTTCCCAATGCAATTTACTTCATTTGCGCACCCCATTTTTTTTCCCCACAATCTAATAATCGAAGTCTGTTCAATAAAATGATATCACTTTTATTTGACTTTTATGTAATGAATCATAATGGTAAAAGCTTAAAGTGAATGTTCATACATTTTTAGCATAACACTAAGATAAGAATAAGT